AGGGTTAAAAGAAGGTTTTAACCATGAAACAATCAACAGCAAGATTTCTAGGGTTATTTCCAGGTGGGTTTGGTGGTCACTTGCTGATATAACCGGTGGCCCCTTGGTGTTACAGGTGGAGAAGTCAAAGAGCTGTGTAAGGTGAGAGCCTGGAAGGGACAGTGGCCTTGCCTTGCCCTTGCATTGACTGGGCCCTTAAAAGTGCCACTATGTTCCCCCAGGCAGGGGTGAGACAGCGGAGGCAAAGTTTACGTAGGTCACTGGAGAAGGAATTACATGATTAGAAACCAGGAGGTTCTGCGGAGTAAGGTGTAGAATAAGAGCACTTGGCTAAAGAGGAGCCTTTGAAACCTGCTGTTGGAAGGCAGGCGTAACACACCCAGTGCAAGGACGTGCGTGGGGGGGCCTAAAGTGTCCTGCATAGCCCAGGCAGTGTTGACCCTTGGATTGGGGAGGAAGGGAGTGTGTTGCACCAATTGCTGCAGCATCTGCTGCTGTAGAGCTGTCCTCCGGCATCCCTTGGGCACAGGATGAGTATGTGATCCTTCAACTGGTAGGAGCTGTAGGACTGAGTCTGGGAGGCCATGCTTTCCGGGACACTGCTGTGCCCCAGGGCTGGGGGCTCTTCTTCCTCCCATGCAGGGGATGGGCTCTTATCTCTCCCCCAAGTAGCCATCACTTCTGGCAGGCTTTTTCTTTGGTGAGATTTGGATGACAAAAATGAAACAAGCTACATAACTTCCCCCTGACGGAGGTGGGAGCTCCTTGTTCGTGTCCTTGTTGCCCTGTGTGTTGGCTCAGTGCTAGGAGAGAGGATGTGAGCAGCTGTAAATCAAGCTGCAGATAGCATGGGTAGTGATGAGGATGCTGAGAAGCTGTTGCACCGCAGTGGCTCTGGGCAGCAAACCCTGCGCTGCTGCGCTTTGCTCGCTGCCAGCTCTGCACGGTGGCAGTGGGGGGGTTTGTTGTGAGCAGACGTGCAGCGCAGCAGCTCGCACTTCCCTCTGACACAGAGCTGATACATAAACCTGGGCCAGATACTGTGGCTGCAGACAGGGAGGGGGTTTCCCAAGCCCTGTAGAGCCCTAGGGCTGCAAACCAGTAAAGTGTTCCTAATAAAACCTATCAGGACAAATTCCTATCACGCTTAATCTCATTGTCTCATCCTAACACTTAGCTCCCTCCCAGCCCTGTTTTCCTGGCTGGTTTCTACCCCAGAGCTCTCACTGGAATAAGGGTCTTTGGCAGGCAGTGTCCTGAGTGCACATGTGCTGCTGAAGGACAGCTGAGTCCCAGTATTGAATTCTCTCTTCCAGCCTGAAATGCTCCTCTGGGATCCCCTCTTGGTTGTTCCCTCTTCCTGAGGAACAGCAAATCACATTGTTCAGCCTCGTGCATCAAGGTGGCAAGTCTAATCCAGCACAGATTAGTTTCAACCTAGTTTTACCCTCTAATGCGCTGGGCTGCGGGGAAGGAATTCAGTGGGCCGGAGAGCAGGTGCCTGCTGTTCCCCCCCAGGGCAGGCAGGAGCATCCCTCAGCCCCTTCCCAGCCCCGGCATGCAGGGCGGCTGGTGTCAGGTGCTTAACCAGCCCAGGGAGAGCTTGGCCTGCTGGCTGGAGACGCCTTTTTGGGGAGCAAGGAAGGATCTGGGTTTGCTCAGGTTGTCTTGCAGGTAGCTGGGACTTGTGTGGGTGAATTTATTGGCTTAGCAAAGTCTCTGTGCCCAAGAAAGGCTGTTCAGGGGAGAGGCTGGGGCTTATTAAGCAGTTCTTATTAATAGAACATGTCCCTTAAAATGGGAGCTTTAGCAAAGGGCTCTAGGAGGAACTTCAGCCACTCGGGCTGTGTCTGAGTCACTGGCCCTGGGGACTGAATTCCTGTGTGCTATTGTGAGCATTCGCCTTATCGAAGTCACAGCCCGGCTTGCATACAATGTGGAGGGTGGAATGCCTTTGAAATATGCTCCCCTGTTGCTTCCTTTGGTCTGGAGCGGAGCTGTGGTGTTGGTGGGCTGTCCTGTCCCCCTCCAGTTGAAATGCAAGGGGCCTGGGTGCTAGGTGTGTGTCCAGCGTCACCCATCTTGCTCTCCTACCATGCTGCCAGGGGCTGTTGGTCCCCTGGGCACATGTCCCTCAGCTGTCTTGGGTGGAGGTAGCATTCCTTTAAGCCTTCACCTTTTCTGTGCTTTTTCTTGCTCCTGGAGAAATACTGCGCTCTGCTCTCACGTACCCTGTCTTGCTGGTAGGTGGGAGCTGTCTGCTGCTCTTGCAGGACAGGAAAGATGTGGTGACCTGGTGGCCAGGAGATGCTCTGGCCCTGTTTTGGTTCTCAGTGATGTTTGGTGAGTTTTTCCTGCAGAGGCTGTTTGGTGTCAATGGCAGTAGGTAACACGACTCTGCTCTCTGGTGGCTTGTGCTGCTGGCTGAGCCCAGGTCTCAAAGCTGAATTGGGCCCTTTGTGTCAGGCTGGCACATGATACCCCTGGGTAGAAATAACTGAGATAAATGAAATTGAGTTGGCAAAGGAGAGTGAAAGAAGGAACTGGGAACATTGCTTTTCACCACAGTTCTCGATTTGAGTTGGTGTCCATGGTGATTAGGGAAGTCTGTGTCACGCTGGTTTAGGGGGCATGGTCTCTGGTGTCCCATCTGGAGCGTGTGAGAAGGGAGGAGGGGGTGGCAGTCACTTCTGTCCTAGTGGGTTCCCTACAAAACCTTGGTGTAGCTGCACAGAAAGGACTTGCCAGAGCAGTGGCTAACTGGCAGTGAAGGTTTGAGGCAGCTGGACTCCCTGGGCAGATCCCGACTCTGCTGTCCCAATGAGGAAGGAGGGAGCGACTCCAGGCGTGTGGGCTGGAGGGACCTGGAGCACGTGCTGCAGGGTCAGGGTGGCAGGCAGCGGTCGAACACAGAAGGATGGGGCTGGCTCCATGCCAGCACGAGCCAGGCATCAGCTTGGGGCTGCAGTGCTGCTGGAGCTGGCCCAGCAGCTCGTCACACCTGGGGACAGCTGGGTTTAGTCTTCCTTCTGGAAGAATTAAGAATGTGCTCTGGATGCTGGAGGGTGTTTGGGTTACTGATGGCTGTTGGACCTCCCGCAGTGCTGATGCCCTAGTGTCTGCAGATGGGGCTTCTTTGGGGTGGGAGTGTCTCATAAATCACAAATGATGCTGCCCCAGTACTACCAGTGCCAGAGATCCTAGTCTCTTGGAGACCCACTCCTGACTCCCTTGTGCTCCTCACCACTTATCCATGCTCACATGCCCAGAGTAGGGAACAGCCTCAGCCCTCTGTCCACTTTAACCCCCGGAGGGGTTTTATCCTGGACAGGCCATGCGTAAGCTGTGCAGATGTTAATGATTTCTTTGCTGAAGAATGCGATGATGTTGTGGCCGAACACAGATCGAGTCACTAAGCTTGTGCTGGGCTTGCTGGAGGTGTGGGAGGGTTGAGAGAGGAGCAAGACCCTGCTGCTCGCAGCTGCAGGGGCTGTTGCTGGCAGGGCATAGTGGTAGAGCTGGCTGTGCAAGTCGTGGTCTGTTCTCTGCGGTACCCTGAAGGCTTTTGAGGTGAGGCTAGGGACAAGTGACCAGAACTGACCCAGGATTTCCTCGCCAGCCTGAGCAGGGTAGGGGGAAAAACAGATAGGCACTTTGAGAGAGTGAGAGCCTGTTCCTTCCTTCAAAATACCTGTCCTCTCTTGGTGCATGGTGTCCTGCAAACTTTGCCTATTCTATTTGCTAGCCCTCAGTTATCCAAGAGTTTGAAATCTGAGATCAGAGTGCTTTTTGTAAGGAATAGGAGCCCTTGCTGGGAATAGGTGCCTCATCCACATGCTGTGTGTGCTTAAGCAGAGATGGGGAGGAGCTGAAACCTTGGGTGAGCAAGAAGAGGGGGTTTCGTGCAGTTATTCCAAAGGCACATGGGGTCCAGTCCTCCCTCGAGCTGTTGGTGGAAAATCCAAGACACCAGAGGCATTCCCCTTGCACTGGAATGTTAATGACAAGGTGTAGAAGGATTCAAGCCTCCTGGCACTACTGCTCAGATGTGGCTCTCTGGGAATTGCGTAGGTCTTCTGAGTAACTGCATTCGCACATGCCCTCCAACATGTTTTCCTTTATATCTTTAACCTTGGGGATACTCTTTTTTTTTTTTCTGCTTTAGGAATTTCTCTGTGACCCAAAGTTCAGTGATGAAGAAGATCTGGAGGAGAAGTTGGCAGTGTTCAAAGGTGAGAACTGGAGGGTTTCGTGTCCTTTCAGCCTGACTATTTGCTCTGAACAGATTATTTTCCTCAACACTTGGATCTTACCAGCCTGAGATTCTCTGCCAAATACAAGTGACGGAGCTGGGGTGGATGCCGCCTTGCTTGTGAAACTCCCAGAGATGTGATTTTCCCATGTGAGCCTTTGTGCTTCCCCCACTTGCTCTCGCAGGGCAGGGACATGTCACCCTGCAGACATCCTCCCCGGCGGCTGCTATTACTGCGAAATCTGCTGTGTGGGCAAAACCCCGGGGAGCAGCAAAGGAGGAGGGTTTCTGTCTAGATACCTAGACAAGCTAGCTGGTATAATGGACGATGCAGTAGCTGGACTCTTTTTTTTTTTTTTTTTCAGTGCGTAGGAGGTCTTCCTGCCCACAGAGCAGAAGTCTCAGCGGCTTCCTGAAGGAGTTGGGGACTTTGTCATTTTAAAAGTTTCTTCAGTCTGATCTGGTCCTCCTGAGCCTCTTGGTACTGGAGGCAACAGCAGTAATGTGTCCCTAGTCCTGGCCGAAGCCTGACTCCAGTGGGTCAGCAGATCTGGGGCTTAGGTTTGGGCCATTTGCTGGGATGGGGGATACAGAAACAGCTCAAAAGCCTGAGGTCCTCTGGAGCTTGTCCTCAAACCAGTTACAGGACAAGATTTGGCAGGGCTGTTCTGGGTGCATCCACCTTTTTTCCAATCAGTGGCTGAAGGCAGTTGAGAAAACATGGCTTCTGCGTCACACTGCCCTCAAGGTTTGTCCTCAGCCTGGCACTAACCAAATAAAACCTGACCTTGCTTCCCTTTCAGGCATTGTCTGCAATTTCCCTTTGAATTTTGGCTTTGCAACCCAGCATGGAAGAAGCTGGCTGGGGTTTTGTGATCCCTTACCCTGCTGGGGACAGAGGAGCCTCCTGTGCTCCCCGTTCTTTTTCTGTTGCCTTTTGTATGGCTTTGGCTTTTGGCTGCAGCCCCGCATTATTTTTCCTATCACAATCGGGGCTCTTCAAACATGGCAATTGTAGGTCACAGGCGCAGAATTCCCTGTAACGAGAGCCCTTGGCATCTCCTCCGGCTGCCTCGTGAGTTTGCCTTCGTGGCCTGTCCTGCTCTCCAACGCCTCCCCAGCTCTTCCAACAATCGACTCATTGTGTGATGATGGGGGGAGTGTTTCTTCTCTGCCGTCCTTCCCACCACCCTTCCCCACATTTGTGTAAATGCATTTGGGAAGGGAGGGACCGCGGGCGGTTTCGCACCACCACGTCCCCGCAGCTGGGATGGGAGGGAAAGACGCATGTGCGAGCCAGGGCTCGGAGTGTGGTGCTGCAAAGCCGTCTCTGTTCTCTGTGCTTTTGGCAAGTGTCAGCTGAGGAGAAAAGAAAACATGTGCTGTGCACGGACACGGCCGAGCAGGGTTTGTGTCCCCGAGTGCGTGCTGGGGTGCCTGACCCCTGCCCAGGGAGGTGGCAGTTTGTTTGCACAAGGTCATTATGAGGAGAGCCAGTTCTGCATCAAGCATCGCTTTGGCCCCTAAGCACATGTGAACAGCCCCAATTTTGTCTGGATCGGTTGCTTGATGCCTGAAGGAAGATGTTTATTCCTGCCTGAAGCATGAAAAGCTTTGGTTTGTACATGGTGTTCCTGTGGGTCTGTCCTGCTCAGCTCACAACAGCAGTAATCCACCAGCTGAGACCCAGGTGAAGATGTGTCAAGCCATTCCTCTGCCTCCTGCCTGAAGCTGCCCATCAGCCCAGTTATCCCAGCACTTCCCTTCAGAAGCACAGGTCCTGGGAAGGCTCTGATGTGGGAAATATCCCCAGTTCTGTTTGGCTCCTTAAATTAGCCTGCTGCTTCTCTGTTCACGCTCCTCTGCTTGCTGGTGGCCCTGGAGCAGAGGCAAAAGGTCTTTTCCCTTTGGGGAAAGGAGCAGCCTGGGAGCTCTGACTTCATTTGAGTCCTCTGAGGCTGTTCTGGGGAGGGAGTGCAGGGCAAGCGGAGATTTCTCCAGCTCAGCGTGGATGGATGGTGACAGCAGGCATCTTGCTCCTCTCATTTAGCAGAACTGAGATGATGGGGGACCCCCTGCAGCGCTAGGAGCTGCATGGTCTGTAAGACAGACAAATCCTTTCCTGAAGAGCTTAAAGCCTAAATGGGGAACAGCTAGCAAGGGAGTGGGGGCTTAGGAAGCACAGGTGTGCCACTCCAAAGGTCAGAAGCAGCACAGGACTGAAATCCTGATTTTTTTTTTTTTTTTCCTAACTCCAATTAGTGTTCAAGTGACCAGCTTTTGTCCTGCAAAGCTAACCAGACTTTGAGCAGGCTCTGCCTTTCTATGAGGATGCTGGGGTTGCCTGATCCAGAGATGTTTGACAGCAGGCTGGAAGGGCAAACAGCCTGCTCCAGTGTCACTGCTCCTAGGCATGTTCTTGTCTTTGCCCTCTTGATGTGGTCCTTGAGCATCTCTGCTGGCAGGTGCTGCTCTGGGAGTGCAGCGCAGCACTGGGAGGACTGTAGTCTGTCCCTTGCTCTTGCAGGCAACTACGTCATTTAATTCCCCTCCTAATCCGATCAAGCTTCATCTTGGGAGTGCTCGGGGTTTTGTTTTCCTTGCTACTCCTTCTGGGAGGTTGTTCCAGAGCTTTGTTTTTCTGGCTGGAAACTTTTTAATGCTATTCATGGCTAGCTGATACCTTGTTCTCGTGCCAGTGTTTTCCTTCAGCTTAAATGAAAAGCAGCCACAATTAAAGAGCACTTAACGCTACAGTCCTGGAATTGAGATAAGGGTGCTGAAACCAGGTTTGAGATGGTCTCCCTCTCAGAACTGTTTGCATTCGGCAGTATATCAATTTCATCCCCAGATTTTATATTTCATTGCCCTAAGCAGACAGTGCTCCGAAGCCCTGCATACCACCTGCTCTGGTGTCTGCTAACTTGCTTCTGTGTCTTTTCCAGAGAAGTACATGGAGTTTGACCTGAACAACCAAGGTGAGATCGGTGAGTGACTCGGGGATGCTGGTGCTGGGCTGGAAAAGCAAGAGCCTGCTGAGGCGGTGTCTGCTGCTGTATCTGCTGCTTCCTTCTGCACCCGTGTTGCTGAAGAGGAAAACCTGCGGACTTTTCCCATGTCCAGCCTTGCGTGGATCTTGATTGCCAGCCAGAGCCTTCCTTGGCTCTCCAGTCCCCACCTCTCAGCTTTTTCAGTCTCTCCTCACTGGCTTCAAGATCTAAGCTCTTCTCAGTCCTATTCTTCTCCTGCTTAGCCACTTCTTTCTGCTCTAAATGCTTTTTTTTTCTTCTCCCTTTTTCTCTACTGCGGCCACCTTTTCAATTCCCCCAGTGTTTCCAGAGCTGGGAAGCTGCAGGGCTTTGGATGATCCTGGGTTTTGCCTGACTTGGGGCAGAAGCTGTGTAACACCATGAGCACTTCTAGTGCAGAGCAGCTCTTTGCTTTGCTGGGAGAGGAGCAGAGTGGAGGGAAGCAGAGACTTGGATGTGAGTCTGGCTCAGCTGAGCCGCCCTGGTTTGGGCCCAGAAAGCACCAGTTTCGTAAAGATCCAACCTTCTGCAGGCCTGGAGCTGACATTAAAGCGTAATCGTTCGAATGCTGTGCCCTTCCAGGAGGCTGTTGCCTCGTTCCCCTCCTCCACCATTCCTGGAGCTGAAGTGAAGCCTGTGGCGAGCTGGAGCCTGACGCAGGGCTGTGCTGCGCTGCTGTTTCCGGGAGGGAAGAGGCTGCAGGTCTCAGCGGGCAGCAGAGCAATGGAAGGAAGTGGCCTGTGGCGATGGGCAGGGGCACCCGCTCCCCACCGCCTGTTCGTCTCCAGCTTTAACCCTAGCGTTGCTTCCCTCCTTCCCATCCTTGTGACTCTTGGCACCACACTCTGAGCTAGAGAGCAATGTCGCCATGTGTCTCTGGAGCACTTGGAGGGTCGTCGCTCTTCTGCGTGTGCGGTGCTTTTATCCTGAGCTGCACAAATGGGAAGCAATGCTCTGTACCGGGCAGTTCAGCAGCGGACTGTGCTGGAAGGCTTCTCTTGGCTTTCAGCAACAGCTTAACGCTGTCAGCTCTGGAGTCTGCCACTGAGGTGTTGTGAGGTGGGAACTCATACCTGTGTCCCTAGGGTTGGTCTGTGCTCAGTGTGGTCACCTCTTGACAGCACCGATTGCCTTGCTCTTGCAGATTTGATGTCTGTCAAAAGGATGATGGAGAAGTTGGGGGCTCCCAAGACCCACCTAGAACTGAAGAAGATGATCTCTGAGGTGACTGGAGGGGTCAGCGAGACCATCTCGTACCAGGACTTTGTCAACGTGATGCTCGGGAAACGCTCTGCTGTGCTTAAACTGTGAGTGTCCCTGGGAGGGAGTGGGGGAGACACAGGACCTGAGCTGGTGGGGGGCAGCTGGGAAGCAGAAACTGTTCTGCCTGGCGGAGATGGAGCTGTGCATGTTTGGTGCCTGTGGAGGGGAGACGAGTGAAGGGGGGTTGCAGAGGGACATGAGAGGGTGGAAAAATCCATGTCTGGGCTGAGCAGTGGTGAGCACTCACAGCAGAGCCGCCCGCTGTGCATTAGCACAGGCTTCCTCCTACGTGCTTCGTCCAGAGTGATCCTCCTTTCCCGAGGGTGTGCCGGCACTCAGCACTGTGGGACTTCTTCCCGTCTCTTCCCTGTGGCTCCTGCTGGCTTTGGAGACTCGGGCTTCTCCTGTGAACGGTGGCAGGACTTCCGCAGTGAATGAGGGTCCTGCCCGCACCAGCAGCCAGCAGTGCTGGCTCCTATTTCCCGCAGGATGTGGAGATTGTGGAGAGGTTGGGCAGTAGATGGAGGTGGGACACATGCTTGAAACAGCTGGCTTGTACTGGGAGAGGTTTTCTGTGGTACAGGCTGCCAACACTAGCCTCCCACGGCCCCCTCTGCCCTCTTGACAGGGCTCTGAAAGTCCTGCTGTAACAAATGGCTTCTGAACACTTGCTTGGCTCCATCTCCCCCCTCTTTGAAGCCTGGCTTTTCCTTTCACCGCCACAGAGGCTGGGCCTGCTTTTGTGTCTGTAACCACCCTGCATAGG